AACAAAAAACAGGCAATAATTCAACCTTGCGTACATCTTTGTTGTACTATATATATGTATGATAGCAGTCAACTGCAAGAGGAAATTGTAAAATACAGTGCCATCTGGAAACAGCTAAGCTGGAATATGGTGTAGTCAATGTAAAATTGCTGCTACAGATGCCAGGGTGTGCTCTTGCTAACTTCTACATCCCTTTTTTAATTCTTGGATATTCTGTCTGGAGTAAGCTCTTGCAGAAGGCAAACCCCTCTAAACCCAGGTCCCCTTATGTTGTTTCAGCATCACACATCTTTGCCTATAAAAGTAGCCATGTTGTCCTCTTCACTGGGATCTGAACATCACTGTAGCCTTGCTGAGGTATGTTACTGTCCCTGCATTACAGATGAGGCAGCTGAGACAAAGAGATAAAGGGCTGTACTCAGATCACCTTGCATAGTGCACGGACTTTGACAGTAACTTAGATGTTCACTCAAGAGCCGTTCAGGCCACTGTTGGACCAGCCAGTAAGTAGCTATGATAGCAATATGAGCATGAATAAAAGGCAGCCTGAGTATGGCCCTCAGGTCTCTTCCGAGCTTGGATGAGAAAGCATCTATATCTAACTTTGGTGCTAAAACAGGTAGTCCGAACATGTCCATATATATCCAATACATCCAAACTGAGCCAAGGCCACTTTGCAAGTCTTCAACAGAACAAGGAACTGAGCTACCGAGTATCAGATCAGTGCTTTAACCAGGGCTCAGCATTCCCCAACCTGGGGAGACTCCACTTTTTGTATAGCAGCAATTTGTCACTACCACACCAACACAAAGATGGTTGTCAAACCATTGTGATCAAGTTCGTAGAAAACCTGATGATGTTATGGTGTTATTTTAAATATAAAACACAATAATAAGACATGGGCAGGGATGTGAGAATTTCAGGCAGATGTGTTCACTACAGCAGTTCTCTGGTTGTGGTGTATGTTTGATTTGTTCACCTTGGTGCTGTACATATGGAAATCTATACTTAATGGACAGATGTAACACAAACAGCTTTTAAGTCAACAGCGTCAGCTTTAAAAGCACCAGCATGCACAGAAACAACTGTTTTGTGACATGTAATGGAACTAGCCCATGCCTGGTCCTGGGAGATTGTTTTTCCATGTGTTGATGAATGCAGTGTAAAAGTGCTCTCTACGCTTTTGCTTTTATGCATTTCTGTTAATATCATCGATATGGAGGGGCTCCCCTCTATACATGCATGAGGGTGGGCCCAGGCAAAGGAAGAGGATGTGTGTTTGGGGTACTTTTTCTGTTAAAACCCACACAGCTGAAACCTATGCTTTAGAGAAACTTGAAAGAGTTATACGATGCCTGTGGGAGGGGGAGATCTGTAAAAGAACCTCAGCAATATGCCACAGTTGAACAGGCTCAACCATCCTTCCTGGGACCGAGGCTGAACACAGTGTAACATCTGTGGGAACCACCTGCCTTCAACCATGAACATTTATCTCAGGGGCTGTTGTATAGATAACTAAGGATGCATTTGGTCCATACGGATTTTAATTCAGGCCCTGACTTTAAGAATTGTTTATTTCCAGAAAAATAATCTTAGAAAGAAGGTAGGATAAAGGGTGAAATAATCTGACATGAGGGCAGCACCAGTGTAGCATTCCCCTGCTCTGCAGCAGCCACTCAGGAGAAGTCACAGTCAGAAATCCATGGAATGGGAATTATTAACACTGCTGGCTGACTTAGGCCATGCATGGTTGTATGGAGGGAGATATGATGGATGGAAATCTTTCCTTTTATTCGTGGGCCTCAGATTGTGTCTGGGAGAAATCACAGGATGTGTTTTCCCAAGAACTGCTTCACCTCTCGCTCTCCACTGCCTCTCTAAAGGTACTTTAAATTTCTGAAACATAACTGCTGACAATGGTGGAAGGCTAGAATTCCTCCTTCCCACCCCAAATACTTCACTGGCTCAGCACTTGGGCTCCTGGATTTCAGTGTTCAGTTCTGAACTGATCTAAGTGATTTTACCTTCAGTGGAGAGCATCTTTCATTCATTAAGATGCCAAAGTGTTTAAAAAATTGCCTATCAGCAGGCATAACTCCATCCATCACTCAAATGCAACAAAGCAGCTGTTTATCATTACACACGAACTTTACCCAAAAGCTTGGAACAGGCATAAAAAAAGAAAATTATACTCAGCTGATAATGCAAAAGGAATTTAACAAGAAAGTAGCTACACACACTTTACCCATAGGACTCCGGTACAAACTTCCCTGTTATTGCAAAATGCTGCTAGAATCGTTCCTGAGCATAAAGAATTAAGGGCTCACATTCCTGATTAAGTCTGAATTGATTCCCACATCACTGCACTTCCAGTGACCTTGAAGCAAGTGATGATGTGTGTGCTCCTATCTGAGCAAATATGAGGTGATTTTAGTTCCACCCGGAGGAGATGTAAGCTAAGTCACATTGCCTTGCATTTTCCATGTGCCTGTTTGAGCATAGTTACAGCAGCTCAGCAGATGTGCAATGATTTATCAAAATTTAGCCGCATAACAGTAAGCCTGAGGCCTACCCCTCTTTCACAGGAGACTAACACTGATTCTCTACAGCCTACCATGGAGGCTTAATTCTTTAGGTATGAGAACCTGGTGCATTCGTTGACATAGAATCATAGAATTGTTTAGGTTGGAAAAAACCTTTAAAATCATCAAGTCCAACTGTTAACCTAACACTGACATCCCACCACTAAATATGGTGGGATGTAGCCCTAAGCACCTCATCTACCCGTCTTTTAAATACCTCCAGGGGTGGGGACTCAACCACTTCTCTGGGCAGCCCATTCCAATGCTTGACCACCCTTTCAGTGAAAAATTTTTTCCTCATGTCCAACCTAAACCTCCCCTGGCACAACCTGAGGCTATTTCCCCTCATCCTATTGCCCATTACCTGGGAGAAGAGACCTTCTTTCAGGTGCTTGTAGAGGGTGATAAGGTCTGCCCTTAGCCTCCTCTTCTCCAGACTAAACAACCCCAGTTCCCTCAGCCACTCCTCATCAGACTTGCGCTCCAGACCCTTCACCAGCTTTGCTGCTCTCCTCTGGACATGTTCCAGCAACACAACATCTTGCTGCCAAATCACAGTGCTAGTGTTCAGTACCTGGCTGGCATAAACGCAAAATGATAGAGGAGGTATTAATGAGGCAAAAGGCATTTGTGAAATACTTTGAAGTTATACAGAGTAAAGAAAAAGCCTTTTTGGGACTGGAAGAGGAAAATTCTGAATTGACAGTATTTAACTTTACTTGTGTGTATCAATAAGCTATGGCACATGCAAGTGAGAACATCAACACCTCCAAAATTGTTGGAGCCATCAGTTCTGTATCCAGAGAGATCTGAGCATGCCTTCAGAATTTCCACTGCTAAAGCTTCCTTCAGCAAGCTAGGATCATCCACGTGTGGAGCAGGGACACCTGGTTTGGGGCATATAGTCAAATACAACTGAGTTACAGTGACTTACTAAGTTATCACTCTTCTCCTGACCCACCACCAGCAGCGTAGTTTCTCTTGGGTTGCTCCAATGGCTAAATACAGCACTCAGCACTTTACCTCACTTTGGGGTAAGCTAGGAACATGTGCATGGTCCACAACAACTTAACTTGCAAGCAGCAACTTTTTAAATTGCCACAAACCGATGGTGTCCCAGAGATATGCTCAGTCCCTGGAGAAGGAGGCACATTTCCTCAGCAAACAGCTGTGAGAGAATTAAGTCATTACAGCCCAAAGTTCAAATGGCTGAAAATACAATCTACACCTTGGTATGAAAATGTTTAGTATTTTGACACTAAACTAAAATTATAAATTGAAAATGTTTCTGGGTTCGGTTTGTCTTTTTTTTTTTTTCACAGTAATATAAATGTCTTCTGGAAAGTGAACAAAATACACCCTTCAGCTAATTATTATGAACTCAGAAATGGGTTGACTACAATGCAGGAAACTGGCTGTAACTGTTCCAGTTAAATCATATCCCTTTCTTGAGAAACAAAGGTCTATTTCCAGCTTTTAGAGGAAAAAATATACATGATTTCAATGGACTACTGCTCACTTCTATTTGCGGGTTCTACAGAAATCTAATAATATAAAGACACGAAGACATTTCTGCATGCACACACAGCCTCTAGAAATATACATATCATAAATGCAATGGTAGCAACCATGAAATAAATCACACTTACTATGGTTTATTGCCCACAGTATATTTCTCCTCCCACTACTCCACCTCCTTTAGCAATGGGCATAATATTCCAAAGCTCTAGGGAGCAGCTTCCCACAGCTATTTTAAAAGCTGCAGCCAGACAGGCAAATGTCTTGTTCTTTCACTCCAAATGTTGAACACAGACAGCTCCTACCTGCTGACCCAAGGAAGAAAGATGAGCATCAGACATACCACAGAGCTCATCTCCTCAGGAGTATACACAGGAATGCTGTGCTGTTGGGAGAAGTAGATCCCTCCCTCACAGCGCTCGCTCTGAGCTTCATGAGGTCCCAAGGCATCAGACTTTAAAACTACAAGGTGACTGTGCAGAAAAAAAATAAAGAATCAGAAGCTATTCTAGGTTATGTCAAGAGCTGTTTTGAATGTTTCAGATCCTGAGATGTGAACAGTTGGTGTAAATGAGCCTAATGCTTTGACTTTACAGGCAAAGGGCTACAGAGATTGAACCGGTGATAACTTGTATACATTGTACAACATTCTAAACCAGATTAGTTTCTGTAAGTCATCTTGAATCTTATCTCTGATTATTCATCTCCCCCAGATCCTAGTTGATAGGGACTTTGCATCATGGTGAAGACCCATGGATGTTCTACATATATTACAGAAAGGATTGTTACATCGCAACAGCAATTTGAAATTGCTGTTTCTTGGCTTACATTTCTTGAGGTTCCTGTTCACTACTG